TGGTAGAAGTATGTACAGTTCCTCATGACTCACCCTGTATAAAATTCTCCTGTCCCAGTCATGGTGTTTGTGGCCAAAATCCTCTGGCTCGACCGATTAGTATGAAAATTTTTGTGCGTATTCGGTAGGTATGAGAATCGGTCGTAATCTTTTTTTCGAATAGAAAATTTAAGATGGCGGATCCAATATGGCGGACGAGTTTTGTAATCCGATTTTATTCAAAATTGATATCTGGGGATTTTCGGGGTCGGAGAATATGATTTATTCGTCAAAGATAGGAAATTCAAAATGGCAAACGAGTTTTGTAACTATGATCCGATTCTATTCAAAATTTGTATTTGAGGGATTTTGGGGTCGGAGATTATGATTCCTTTATCAAAATTAGAGAGATGGAGGATCCAATATGGCGGACGAGTTTTGTAATTATGATCCGATTCTATTCAAAATTTGTATCTGGGGGTTTTCGGGTTTTTCGGGTCGGATATTATGATTCTATTCTTTAAAATTGTGAAAGATGGCGGACCCAATATGGCGAAAGAGCTTTGTAATAAATAGTAGTTTGGAAAAAACTATAATGAAACAAGCTTTTATGGATAGTCAAACTCTAGGCCAAACTGAATAGGAGTAGAAAATTGATAGTATGGTTTAAAAAACGAGATAGATTGTCGAACTAAAAAGAAGTAAAAAATAGAAATAGTAGTTTGAAATACTGATGAAACAAGATTTTATGGATAGCCAAAATAAAAAGAAGTAGAAAACAAAATAATAAAATTGTGTTGATAAATATTAAACTGAAAAAATATTTTCTAGAAAGAAACGTATATTGCAAAACAACGTTTGCCGGGTAGCAGTTTGAAAAAATGAAGAGATATAGAGTGCCGAACTAAAGAGAAGAACAAAATGAATAGAATAGTTTGAAAAACTAAAGAATCCCGCTTTTATGGATAGCCAAACTGAAAAGAAGAAGAAATATAATAATAAAAGTTTTTTGATAAATATTTATCTAAAAAAATTGTTTCTAGAGATAATGTTTATGGCAAAACAACGTTTGCCAGGTCAGCTAGTAAATAATAGTGTTTCCCATATGATGGCGACTCAATAAATGATACTGTATAAAGAAATACATTGAGAATTCCCATTGATTACCTGATACAAATATGATTTCTTTTTCGGTATATTCAATATAAAACAACTACTTTCCTGCCTTTTTGACACGATGAACATTGAATACCATCCTTAATATTTACACTAACAAGAGGAACCATCCTCATGAGAGCAATGAAGCCAGAAATTCTATTCAGTAGGTGACACTATCTATAAGCGACGTGAACTAAAGTAAAGCAGAAAATGTTCGAAGTTTATTTTTATGTTTTTTATTATTTGAAGGAATATCAGAGTATGATGTATGATGAACGGAAGATCAAACGAAAATTACACTCTTATACACGGTGAGTAGGGGTGCCCGGTCCTGAAGCCAACCCCACCCTTCCACTTTTCTCCAAACCACGTGACCCAGCTGGCCAATCAGAGGCCACAATTCGGTTTGAAGCCCCGCCCTCCCTATGGATGGCGGTAAGTTCGAATGCTAGATAGTCTGAATGTTGAACATTATTCGGGTGATGACGTCATCATTGATCATATTTTATATTCGGAATTGATTAAAAAAAAACTAGTTTGTACTGAGCATTGAAACCGAGACCAAAGGGGTGGAAGTCCGATGTGCTACTGTAAGAGCGACCTTCAATATCGTCTCCTCTTGTTCATTGGTGTCAATTCAGGATACATTTGGTTGAATTTTCTGCAAGTTCTGTCCGTGTTGTGAAGAATATTCAAACCGAAGGATTGGCTTTATTGAGCAAAATGATAGACATATCAGAATATAACAATATGACAAATGTCACAACTAAAAGTACAGTATGTTTCATAAACTAGATGAAGATGATTCATCACATTCTCCCCAGCTTAATAATAACGCTGATACAATTCTAAATATTTTGGTGGTCTAACATTTCGCCTCAATCGTGAAGTAATGTTAGAATTCCTATCAGAATGAATCATGTGAGGGTTCGTATTTTCTTGAAGTGTTGTTTCTGATGTGATTCGAATCTTCTGGTAGAATCTCCATCTGATCAGAATGAATCGTAACTGGATTGGCATCTCCTTGGATAACTACTTCTGATGTGTCAACATTTCCAGGTAGCACCTGATTTCCTGATTCGTCGCGGCTCACTTCAGATATTTCTTGAAGTTTATCAGAAATCGGCTCAATATTTTCTTCCTTATATTCTCTTCCCCCTCCAGGAGCTAGATGTCGGTTAGAAATGGTGATTTCTCTCCCATCAGAAAGTCTCGCATGTGAATAGTCAGGATTAGATTCCATTAATTCCACTTCTTCGACGAGTGGTTCATACTTGTTTTGACGATTATGTTTCTTCATTAGGATTAGAGAACCTGGAGTAGCCAGCCATGTGGGTAAACTCTGTCCATTCAAAGACCGTCGGTTTTGCGAGTAATCGATTACCATACGTTTCTTATGATTAGCATTGAATGTCACCAAAACTTGGGCTCGCCATGGTGAATTACTCTTTTCAATTATACCGTTCAAGAGGAGTTTTTCGACTTCAGACTCTATGAATTTCAAATCTTCCTGAGAGTATCGTCTTTAGAAGTAGTTGCAACTGCTATAGACTCGGCAACTCTTAGGGAAGATTCAGTAGGTATTGCATTTATGAATGATGTATTCGAAATATTGAAGTTATCAGAGTGACGTTGGGCCATTTCCAATGATCTAGCTTGATTGAATGCTTCGTCGAGCTTGAGGGTTTCATTTTCCAGTAATCGCTGGCGTATAGCAGCCGACGACAATCCCGTAATGAATGAATCTCTTATATAATGAATAACAATAACTGCATAAGAACTTCGTTTGAATAATCGATATTCGCGTTCATTCTGGGAGATTTTTTGAAACACTGTCAATAACAATTACTGAATTACTCATTAATGTCACCGAACTGTTATGAGTTTGATATTTCCATGGCTATCTAAAATTGACTTTTTCATAAAATTATATTTTTCACAAAAAGCGGCTTTATTAAGAAAACTTGATGATTTAGGTATAGGGACATGCTATGTCATCTTGTAGCATTTTTATTAGTCTTTCAATTTATTGAGTAAAAAACAGTGGGTTCCATTTGAAAAAATGAACTTTTGACCACTTGTATGAACAACGAATATAATAATAATTTCAGCACGCCCTGTATGATATGGAGGCGACTTCTCGGTGTAAATTTAATACATCAACCATGTTCAAACCACCACTAAAATATCAACTCTTCATGACTCGAGTGCCCTGATTTATACAGGGTGATTCAAAAGTAAGCGGCATCCTTTCAGAGGCGTATTCCTTGCATGAAAATAAGGCAAAAAGTTCCTATTGATAAGGATCCGAAAATGCTTCCTAAGGGAGCTACGGCCCTTTGAATAGGACACCTCAAAGACGGTTTTTTCTCTATAACTTTAAAATCCTTCACAACAAATTTTTAAAAATTGGTGTACGGCATAAACATTCGATGGTAAATAGGACTCCGTATTCGAAATTTCAGAATTTCATTCAGGGGCGTCACATGCGGGAGAGGGTAAGTGTAAAAATATCCCTTCTTCTCCGGATATTCAGGTTACTGTGATTTCGTTTGGAAATTATTTCGAATACGGAGTCCTATTTACCATCGAATGTTTATGCCGTACACCAATTTTTAAAAATTTGTTGTGAAGGATTTTAAAGTTATAGAGAAAAAACCGTCTTTGAGGTGTCCTATTCAAAGGGCCGTAGCTCCCTTAGGAAGCATTTTCGGATCCTTATCAATAGGAACTTTTTGCCTTATTTTCATGCAAGGAATACGCCTCTGAAAGGATGCCGCTTACTTTTGAATCACCCTGTATAAGTTGAATTAGGGATATGTTTTGGATCATATTTAACACAAATTATTTTTCATCTCGAAAACCGATAGAGATAGGTATAGGGATTTATCAACAAAAAAGTATTGTAATAAAAAGGCAATTCTAAAAATTTGTTAATATACGAGGTGTTCCATTTAAAAAAATGAAGTTGCTAGGACTTTTTGATAGAAACCCTGTATATGGAAGAAGGGATGGCAGGAAATTATTGTGCCTCAGTTTGTGAAACGCCTTAAGTACACTAGTTTAGTCTGCATAAAAACTCGAAAACACCGTTCCGAATTTTCTAGTGCTCATCGGGATTCTGGGATTCACTCAGTTACTAACGCGAACTTAGGCAGACATCTCCTCTAATATGAACTTGAAAATGATGTCAGGAGACTTCAATCGAATTTGAAGCAATGAAAAATAGAATTACTGTACTGGAAAAGTAATTCACATGATCTGAGAGTAACTAAACCATTTGAAAAGTAATTAGAATACTGAAAAGGTAATGGAGATATTTAATAAATAATCTGAGATACTGAAATGGTAATTTACAAATAATTAAAATAATGCAAAGATTTAGAAAAGAAATCAAGTACTTGGAAACTCAGGGTGTACACCATATTCAAAGAGTTGTTTGCCCCTTGGTATTGACATAGGAAGAACTTTTTTTATTTATCTTGAATGCTAAGTCAAAAATTATGAACCCTACTCATTCAAGGAGTAATTAAGTATTTCACATTATGCCTGATAAAATGATGAGACAGTTACATATTTCAATATCTATAAACATTTCCAAATTTCATGGTTCCTGAAATACAATTATCACAAGGAACACATACACATACACATACAGTAGACTAATAGATTATACTCTTTTGAATACAAATGAAACTTCGGAAATTCATTTGGCACTTCCAAATTACTATTGAATATGTAGTTTCATGAAATAAAAAATAAAACTGAAGAAAAAAGGTAACATTTCAAATTTCTTTATGAACTTTTGTTATTGAAATTCCAGACCAAAATTATAAGAACAATGTTTTAAAATCAAATCTCACCTCATCTTCGGACATCAGTAATTTATTATCCTCTTCAAATTCATGACAATATTTCAGTTTCAATCTTGTGCAAGCTTCAACAGGATCAAATGAGGCATCAGCCAATAGAGTCTCCAAATGTTTGTTGTTAGTACATATTTGAGCTATCAACATCACATTTCTCTCTTTGTAATCATCCAGAGATTCTTTTATTTCTGAAAACAAAACAAAGTAGACATTTAGTAAAATATGAATTATTTGAGGAGACAAAATATCCTTGGTTCACCATCAAAATAAAAATGCCCAAAATTTCATTTTAAACAATAATTGGTCTTTCAACCATTCCAATGATCACCCCGTAGCAAGAGTTTGGGTTTAACAACTCACTATTCAAAAAATAATCATCAACAAAACATTGAAATATGGTTGAAATGCTCAATAAAAATATATATATTATGTTTCTGTACACTTCAGCTCAATTTTTTTTAAGGATCATGAAGTGGTGGTATTACTTACACCTAAGATACATCTAAACTACTTCCTACAAGCAGAGTAAAATATATGATAATTGAAATACCATTATAATAGGATAAGTCTTACTTACAATTACGATCCATCTGAACTACTTCCTTCAATTAAACTAACTAGCCATTGAACTACAGACCTCTGCCACAGATTAACAAACCTTAAGAAGTTCTGAAGGCAAACAAGTGAAATTCTTGAAATCATGGTGGAAAGGGTGTGAAACATGATTCATTATAAAATACCCACTGATCTATCAGTGAAAATAACAAAATATTATTAAGTATTGGACAATTTTAAAATGAAATGAATATAAAATATATCTAGAATATTATTAATAGCTATTAACTTTGAAAAACTATAAACAGATATTTATTATACCAGGGAAAACAGTATTAGATTTTGAGTTATATTGAAAATATAAATACATGGAAATAAATGAGTAGTAGTGTCAAATTTGTAAAACTTCACATCACACTTGTTGATTTCAAGGTTCAAATAACAGTTCTTGAAGATACACATTTTGTTCTTTTGAAATTAAGTTATGCCTGGAAGCCCTGAACTCTTGGACTATAAAATATATCATGCCAAAGTTCAACACCATTATAATAGGATAAGTCTCACTTACACCTAAGATAAATCTGAACTACTTCCTACAAGCAGAGTAAAATATGTGACAATAAAACTAACTAGCCATTGAACTACAGACCTCTGCTAAGAAGTTCTGTAGGCAAACAAGTGAAATTCTTGAAATCATGGTGGAAAGGGTGTGAAACATGATCCATTATAAAATACCCACTGATCTATCAGTGAAAATAACAATATATAAATAGGTAATGAACAATTTTGAAATATTATATAAAATATATCTAGGATGTTCATGTTATGATGATATCCTGTGCTATTCACTTTGATAAAATATAAACAGTTATTTACTATACCAGGGAAAAAATTATTAGATTTTGAGTTATAATGGAAATAAAAATACATGGAAACAAATGAGTAGTAGTGTCAAATTTGTAAAACTTCACATCACACTTGTTGGTTTCAAGGTTAAAATAATGAGTATGAATCTGACTTCAATCATCAGTTACCTAATGTTTATCATTGTATAATTGGTAGAAAAAGCCAAATGTTTGTGAACTTCAGTAGGTTTTGATTATATGAAAAAAATTGATGAAAGTAAAACACTGATGACATTAACTGTTACTTATTAAAATTATTGAAATTTTTCAGGAAGACTATTAACTGAATGAAAAATCAAGGGACAAGGACATTATATCTACTTCTTTGAAATATAAACAATACCAACAAATTAATATTTTCACTGCTCCTCCTGTAAATAAATTACAGATGAATAGGAACAAATATTGAATAAACAAATGTCTATGTATACACACCTTCAAAAACATTCTCATCAATTTTCAATACATCCATCTCAATCAATGTGCTCCTCAATGACTTCTCATTGTTTTCTTCATCTTTGTAAACTATATCTCCAAAGACAATACCTTCATCTTCATCTTCTACATTGAAATGAATTGAACTTGCTTTAGAGAGTATCTTGGTGGACACTTGATAGCTTTTTGTGGTGGGAGTTTTCACAGAAGCACTAGTTATTGTGGCTTCTCCAATGTTGTCAAATCGGAGGTGCTTAAATTGAGGAAAATAACCTTTCAATGAAAATGAAATTCATACAAAAATTTTGATGAAAAGAAGTGTGGGATGGTCTCAGTTATGTTTCATGAAGAGTTGTTCAGGAATTGAACATAGGCTTCCATTTCAACTTCCACTTACCTGTTCTAAATAAACAACATTATTTAAGCAAGCTTGAAATGCTAATGGAGGGGTTCTCCTCACTGATGGAGACACTTTGTGAATATCATTACATTCAATCATTGTGCCATGATCAATCAGCCAGCATAAATAGGAAGTGCTGTAGTTGGGCTCACAAATATATTCAATGGTAGCTCTGAACAGTTTATTTTTCAGTGACACAGCAACAATCTTGAAAAAATTTAATCACTGATAAACACCGTCAGCTTCAAGTTCTATACTCACCTCGCCGATTTCGAATGTTGGAAATTTAGTTGAAGATTTGGAATGGGGATTCTTGGAGATCTCTTGCAGGATTTTATCCAAGTTTTTTAAGCTCTTAGTACGTTCCTCATTATTTATTATATACCAAAATAAATGTGGATTGATGAATGTAGTTATTTCAACTTCTTTTAATGAACCCATGGTAAATATCTTACCAACATTCATAACTTACAACATGAATGAATAATATATTTATAACACAAGTTGGTGAAAATCATGAAAACCCAACATCTCGGGCAGTAAAAGGAAATAACAGAAGTTGACCTAGTGGATAGTGGATTCTCGATGCTGAATAGTGAATTTTGAAGCGCGAATCTACAAACCACCTACAAACGCATGATCACAACAGCAAAAGAACAAAAGATCAAAAAAGAAGGTTTATGTATTTATGCTGAGGTTAGTAACGCTAGTGACAGTTTCTTCTTTTTTTAGTAGGCTGTCCTAAAACTTTTTTCTTTTATTTAGCCTTTAGCTGACAATGTCCAGTTACTTGGCCTAGGGGCCTAGGTATCTAAGCTATCCGGTCACTACTTCCTATTGGACGATTTTAAAATTGACATTTTTGACGTATCAACTATCAAGCGAAAGCCTTCTACTTATTTGTTTTGTAGATTTCAAAATGAATTCATAATTCGCAAATAAATATTTTGTGTGCCTTCAGTGTATTTACATGAACATGAAGAACTCCCAATTGATGTGTATATTGGAGGTATGTACCTACTATGGAAATATATGTTTCGTTTGTAACTATGTAAAATCAGAACTGCTTCAAAACTCCTCATACATCTAACGACATTTTTTCGAATTCGCTTTGATACATTCATTGAGGATTGATGAGTTTTCATTTCTCAGCTTGCTGTTGTACTCATTTATACTATAATATTTATGTTTGAGATCAACTTTCTGTTATGATGTTGATTTATCCATCATATTATGTTCATTCTCCAGAAAAGAAACAGGGGACCGGATCACGTGTATAAGCCTAACACTACTTGTCAACTGCCGGTTTTTGAAAAATTGAAATTCTACATCACCATGGAACATATGGAAAAAAATTGAGAGTCCTGCTGTTACTTTTTTACATCTCATTGTCCAATTCTGGTTTTTCCACCAAATCCTAAATTGATGTTTGGAAGCAGTGTTTACCCAAATTTGATTTCCCAAGAAAAGCTATCATGGCTAGAGTGCCAGGATCGAATATCTAATTTTTTGCCGTTCAAAGAGTTGTGGACAGGCTTATGGACACCTCTCTCATTTCCATAGAGATTTCCAGCCACACATTCTGAAATAGAGGAAAATAAAAAAGTGTGGATGGGATGAATAATTATATATAGCACCCTGACTAAATTCTGTGGCATTAAAATCAGAACCCGATGACGTGTGCTCATGAAAATCATGCAGATTTCATATTTTCATATAGAATTTGGAATAGATTGACATAGGAAAATCTTATCCTTGTCACCTCTACAGATTTCAGGGAAATGAATTTTGAAAAAATGAACATCTATTCCTATCCCCCCTTGTATCAGAACCCGATGATGTCGTTCATGAAAATAATACATTCCATGTGAAAAACAAAGTAGATTACCATGGTAAAAATCTTTCTCTTGCCACCCTCACAGATTCAGAGAAAATTGATTTTGAAAAAATCAACATGCATTTCTTTCACACCTTTAGGTTTGGGAATGGTTGGAAAACTTTTGTGTCACGGGCAGCTGCAACAAAGATAGCTTGTGTTATGGTAATCTGTCTCTGTCACACTTTCATTGTGAATTTCGTGTTTTCCAGACAAGAATACGAAAGTACAAAAAAAATTTCGAAAAAAAAAACATCGCATGATAAGTGCACTTTTACCGCTGATATACAGTCTTCTGTCCAAGATAAGGTTGCACAGCATGGGGATCTCGGAAACGGTAGGAGATTCGAAGTCGGTTAAATGGGGAAAAATTTGCGCATTCGGAGGCTCATTTCAACAGCCTCCAAAAATTTTCAACATTGTTCTTATTTGCTCAGTTATATCGAACACAGTGAATTTTTGGAATATCTATTATTTTTTCACTGTTATTATTAGAGATACAGAAAAACTGCAAATACTTTTTCATCATAGCAACTTTTGATGACGTTTAACGTGGTGATACCGATACCATAATCAACTTTTGTTTTTTAAATACGGTCCTGCCGGTCCTGGTAATGTTTCCACAGATTCTGAAAGCTTTTTTTATTCTGAATTCAACCATGTATTGTACAAGTGGTTTGAATGTGTTTCGACCTATTTTTAGCCATCATCAATGTTTTTTTCCAAAAGAAAAATGCTATCCAACCAACGTAACCCAGTAAACACAAATTGATCTCAGAGATGTCAGTACACTTCACATTCATAATTGAGATCACACCCGCGATTCGATTTGTGAATCACATCGACATCTCCAGATCCTCTATTTGGGACCCTTTTGGTAATTTTTCGCTTCACATTCAGATGCCGAATGGGACTCAAAAGTTAGCTGAATGTGACTCCAGATTTCACGTTGAAATTAGACTCACATTGAGGTTACATATTATGTTACATTATATGCAGAATGTGAGGTTTAGAAGACCATCGACCATATCTGAATGTGAGGTTCTTTTCGATTATTATACTGGTATCTAGCGTCCCTGGAAGAGTTATATTGTGCGTCTCAGAAATGCTACATACACATTTAGTGTTGATGTCTCAAGTGGAATCACATCTAGATTGATGAAGCTATTCAATGAGAGGACTAATCGGTCTCGAATCTCTGTCAAATAAACTGGGCGTCAATTGAAACGTTAATAGTGAAATTTGGCATCAAGTTTGACTTCTCGTAATTTCTAAAATATTGAACGAATTTTGAATTGCCGCCCAGATTCTGAATGCCTTTTTCATCGTCTTTCGAACCGTTCCTTACAGCTTCTTCTAAATTAATCAGGACCCGTGATACAGGGTGAAACAAAGTTTCGTGCATTTTGAAAAAAATGTCTCCGCCCCCCCATTTTGTCGGAAGACCACGATGCTCATATTTTATTCAGGCATTTCATAAATAGCAACCATACCTCGGGACGTTTTCGAGTTTTTGCCAAAAACTACTGTGGTTTCCGAAAAAAAAAATTTTTGCATTTTTTTTAAATGGACTGATTACCTGTATCCTCAAAACGATGAATCAGTCTATTTATTGTCATGACTGACTCATTGAAAATGGTACTTGAATGAGTTTGGGTATATCCTAATCGTCGTAACCTGAAATAATAATTATCTGTACTGAATTATAGTTTATATCACTATATAGTGATCTTACCTAATGATATTTTCCATTTCGACCCGATTTGATCTTTAAATTTTTTAGGACCCGAATTACACTGACGTTTTCATGAAAATTGGCAATTGATATAACCCCTATGCATACCTACATTGTTTCACCAATACGTTGTTATAGAAACAATGTATCGTTGTTTGTTTTTGTTGATGAGATGTGTTGATTTACTGCTCACTAAGGTAGAAAACTTTTATCATAGACGGCGAAGTAATAAATTATTGATTGTTTTTGAGTAACCTGGTATACATATCTGCTCCAACGCTTTCCTGAAATGCATAAAAGCATCCATTTATGGAACTCCTCTAAAATTAGTCCATTTAAAAAAAATGCAAAAAAAATTTTTGGCAAAAACTCGAAAACGTCCCGAGGTATGGTTGCTATTTATGAAATGCCTGAATAAAATATGAGCATCGTCGTCTTCCGACAAAATGGGGGGGCGGAGATTATTTTTTCAAATGCACGAAACTTTGTTTCACCCTGTATCACGGGTCTTGATCAATTTAGAAGAAGCTTCAAGGAACGGTTCGAAAGACGATGAAAAAGGCTTTCAGAATCTGGGCGGCAATTCAAAATTCGTTCAATATTCACGAATTAATCACGGCATAACACTGAAACTTTCAATTCACATAAAAATTGCCGATAGGCAATCAAATTTTTGGCGGAAATAATGAAAAATTCATTTCTTCAATGCAGGTGTTCATGATATGCAATACAGTGGCTTTAATTTTTTTTCTCGAAAACGAAGCTGGATATGAAGAACATGCAGAAGACCAAAAAGTTGTATATTGAGTTGCTTAATCTGAAAAAGAATTGAAACTTACCGAAGAAAGTCAGTGGCGTACTTTTTTTTACAATATTGTTGGTTGTGGTGCCCACTGAGACGCCACTGGCCCCAATAATTTCAATCTGAATAGGGCTAAATAAGCGCCTTATTAGTTCAAATAAGAGTACCAAATTTCAACCTAATCGGTTCCAGGAGATTCATGATACTTTATAATTACCGTTTTTTTTTTCTTTAATTTCAACGCCCTGTATCTCAGAAACGCAGCAACTACGGACATATGTTAATAGAAACTTTTCTTCCTGAAATGACCTAACGAATCACCATCTGCAGTTAGGAACCGTAGTTAGGAAACACCCTGTATATCAAAATAAAACACCAAATCGATAAAATAGTAATGTATTTACTGATATCCCATCAAGTATCACAAGCAAATTAATATACAAACATGATGTTACTTTACTGATGTTAGGTATTATACTCTCATTGTGATGTTTTTTTCAAAAATCTATCTGCCCAGAAATGACAAACTAGCTGACAGAAAATAATATCATCTTATCTAAGGGGATTTCATTATTAGTTGTTTATGGAAAATTATTACAAAAATATATACATAATACTTGGCCTAAATTAAAAATAAATAAAGCTCATCACTATCAAACTATATAAGACAATACTCAATAAAATTGTACAACACTTAAATATTAAACTATCTACAATTATTATTGAACAATACAAAAGGAAATTGATTGATGTTCTCTTTATGCTTTGTTCATTTTATCACTTTTGGAACACCATGTATAACAAACATACTATTTTCAAGAGCAATTGTACAAAAATATGATTCGATTTTTGATGATTCAATAAATACGAAATAAAGGAATTCGCATTCTTTGATCACCCTGTGATTGCTTACGCTCTAATTTATCACGGCATTGTTTCCACTAGCTTTCAATTGTTTTTTTCACTGATACCGTTTTTTTTATTAACATATAATCGTTGCTGACGCTAATTGTTCATTAGTCAGTCATTTTGAAAATGGAATAAGGTTCTGATTTGTTGAATATACACGAAAAAAAAAAAAAAATAGCCCCAGCAAAGTTATCTCAAAACATTTACTAGAAATTTTGAATTACTTTTCTTCCGCTTCCTGAGTCAGATTTTGTCAGTTTTTACTGAACTGTTGATCTATTGAACCGCAACAAGCAAATTTTTGCACTAAATTCGAAATTGAATATTTTCAGTAGTGATACTATAAGTTCTTCAAAATATTCAGGTTATACTCTTATATCGATAACTTGTTGCAAAATTACAAAGAGTGCCAGTTTAACAGTTGAAATAATTCGATCGCGAAGCGGGAGGATTTTTCTAATAAACTGACACGATTTGTAATTGTGCAGGAAATTTGAGATGTATAACCTTGAAGATTTTGAAGTTCGAATTGTAGGTACTCGATGCGATTATTTATTAATACTATGGAAGTGGAAATAATTCTGAATTTCTGATTGGTGGAACTACTCTATGTATATCCATGTATATTCGAAATTATATACAAGGTATCTGAACTCAATTGAACGTTTTGATTGGTTTAAAATCATACGGAGAAAATAATCGCGAGAATTTCACATAATTATTGGGATGCAGTTTTTTATATCATGAAGATAAATCCATCGCGTAGGTATATGATTACTATATACAGGGTATGTCACTACGAGCTTACACTATCTCTATATCGAGAATCAGTCGGTAGAAATCCATGAAAATATGCATGCTCATATTTAAGAATACGCTCACTTCATTCAAAATTGTTTCAGCAATGCAGTGTTGCCGCTTCTATCAAAAAGTAGCAACAACTTTGTTATTTCAAATAGAATATGCTGTATTTTATTGCATTTTTAAATTCTCCCCAAAGAGCTGATTTCATCGATACATCACACTTGGGGTCTATCGGAAATGAGAGATATAGGGTGTTAAAAATCGAGATTTTTTAACTTTAGGATTTGTTTGTGTCTATTTCGATTAAATATCAGTAAAAAGTTGAGATAGGCAAAGCCATTTTGACCCATAATGAATAGTTTCGACTCAAAAAAATGCTAAAGTTGAAAAATCTTGATTTTGAACACCCTATATCTTTGTAATCTTTCTCGATAGACCCCAAGTGTAATACATCGATAAAATTAGCTCTTCAGGAAGAATTTGAAAATGCGATAAAATACAGGGTGTTCCATTCGAAATATCAATGTTGCTACTACTTTGTAGTAGAAGCGGCAGCACTGCATTGTCGAAAATATTTTAGATAAAGAGAGCGTACTCTAAAATATAAGCAAGCACATTTTCATGGATTTCCCCGACTGATTCTCGATATAAAGATAGTGTAAGCTCGTTGTGACATACCCTGTATGTAGACCGCCGATGAAAACGCATGGTGACACAGGTCCAGTCAAAGGATTTATCTTTAAAATGAAAAAAAAACTGCATCCGAATATGTGGATTTTTCACGAAAATATTCATTGTTGAATTAAGTGCGATGTTCTTATTGCGGTAAATTGATCAGCAGTTTGGTACACTTAACAGTGTTTTAAAGCATTCAAAACAGTTATTTTTGTATCTAGTGCACCAAATGCTATATTGGTGATCGATAACTGAATTTTTTAACAAGGCGCAGCCGAGTTGAGAAAATAGTCGTGATCACCAAAGTATGTATTTCGCGCACGAGTTGCAAACAAATTTGATTCCACAAACCCCAAAAAATACTCCTACTAAAATGCTGTATGATGTAGCTCAATGTAAAAAATAGTGTTGAAGTGGCTTGAAAAGCCTTAAGTATTGTTGAATTGAGGACCAAAAACGGTTAAAATACAAAGATCTCATATAGTTTACATGCAGTTCACGAAATATGTATTTCTAACACTAAATATTTTATTTCACACACCATTTCGTGCACGGTGTCGTGGTAACATAGGAAAATGAAAAAAAAGCCACTAGAAAAGAGAAGAAATGCAATTATTCATTATAATTTCAAATCCAGAAGAAAAATATTCAGAATCTAGCTGTAGGGCTGTAGGTACTTACTCTGATATTATTATACACAGTGTTCCAGCTCAATTTCTACCTTGAATTGAATTTCGGTCCATCAATTTCCCAATTTTCATGATCAACACCAAAATCTTCGACTAATTCGCACACGATCTACTATTATTTACATCAAATACATATATAATACAACAACAATACAAACCCACCTCCAGCTCATCCTCAAATGGGATTCAGCTGTTTGTGCTTGAACTTGAACAAATAAGCGAAATCATCCGTAGGAATCGACCTATAATATTCGTTGTTTTGCACAGTTTTCGCGTCACCCTGTAGTTTCTTCCTCGAGAACCTCAACACTATCGGCTTGTCGTAGCTCGTCTGAGCCTCACTCCAAGCCGGAGGCAAGAAAAACAACCCGTTGTGACGGTCCCTGTTCCTCCTATTGAAAATCCCCTGAGAGGCCTCTACCTTGGGAACCTCTAGGAACATCCCCTGGGAGGCAGTCGCCCCTATCTTGGGAACCTCGAGATACACCGAGGGATCGTCAGCTTGCTTGGAAGAATCGTCAGTACTTACTTGAACGTCTTGGAAGCTCGCTGACGTTGAAGCAGGCTCTAAGCCAGTAGGGGCTGCTGTGACGTCAGTTTCTGTGGCTGTAGTAGCTTCCACAGTAGTAGCTACTTCTGTGGTGGGAGTTTCTTCAGGAGTAGTGCTTTGTTCTTGTGGCACAGTCGTTGCTTCTGCTAGTTGTTTCAGGTACATTTCTTGCGTTTGCTCGTCATCCAGAACGCTGTATCTTTTGTCCAGTTTGTTTTTAACCAGGTAGGGGTTGGCTTTCGTCGGGGAGACTATCAAAGCGACCTCTGTGTCCTCTTCGCTGTCCTCTTCTCTCATGTCCTCGCTGTTTATCTCTAGGGGTATGTTCAGCTGCAGCGGTCCCTGAGTCGGAACCACCTCATCCTCTTCCTCTTCCTCGTCTTCATAGTCGAAGGAGCTGCTGAACTTCTCCTTGAGCTTTTCGATGAGGAAGTCGTACTGCTTGTCGGGGTCGATCCGGATGATTTTCATGCATCTTCCCATGACGTCAGAGTTGTAGCCTTCGGCGCAAGCTGGTAGGGACTCGGGGCTGAACGTAGGGGCTATGAAGACCGATTTGGGGGTGATTCGTCTTCTTAGGACGCCGTCCGAGTTGGTGTGTTGTTTGTTTTGGTTCTGGTCGTCGATCAGGAGCCAGGCTTCCCAGGCTAGGTCGGTGGATCTTTCGTTTAGGGGTCTCGAGGGGTAGCAGGAGCCTGAGCAGACGCAGTAGGAGAGGAGGATGACCACGAATCTGCACGTTTCCATGATTATTTTGCGTCGTGCGGACATGTCAGTCCATTCTAGGAGAGGAGCGTTTATGCGACGCGGTTAATTCGCACTCGGTTTGATTGGTTTTGGTGCGGTTAAGTACACGTCTTTGTTGTTAGAGCGTTGCTGTTGAACTGGTAGCGAACATCTGGATTTGGCTGGTCTGTTCGCGCATTGGGACCTGCAAATAAAACGATAAATCAGGCTTAATCGAACAACGAATCGGTTTTTTTTCTCTGTTCGCATTGATAGTGCGAGCAATTTTTAGTAAATCTTATAGAGGGAGTGTGCCCGTGTCCGTATATTTTGATCTCTACCTACAGCTTCAACTATACAAGGTGGAAAAAAACTACTAAAGAAAGATTCGAAATCAGTTCTTTCAAATGAAACACCCTGTATATTTTTAAGCCATTTTTCACTTATTTAGCATATCAAAGTTTCCAATAACATTTAGATGGCTTTGGACACAACAGAAATGCCATGGAAACAAAACAGGCAGTTTTTGACATCTCTGTCAGTGTTTCAATAAAAATGGGTTATTTCGTAGAGAAGAAATAGGAGATAGTAAGATTATATTATAAAAACATTTCAGTAGTGCAGCAAGAATGTCGAAAACGGCTCAAGGAAACATTTTTGGTAAAACTGCATTTGGTACTGCATTTGGTACTTACGTATTTTTGTCTGAAAAACACGTATTTGATAATGAAAATGTGAACAAACCACTATTTATCAAGATATTTCAAAAAAAAAGTTCGAAATTTCGACTCCTTTTTCCTCTTGCGTTGGATGCATTTTCAGGTACTTGCTCTTCTTATTTTGTCATTGGACACTTTATATACTCATGATGTACTTCAATGACACATTTTTATACAGAAAATTCAACAGGAAATATGATTTTTATGGTGAGTTTCTCCTATTTAGTGAGCAAGCATACCAGATGACGGCCATTGGGCCATTTTATCCATAGGCAATCCAAATACGAGATGTCAAATGTCAATAGATTGCTTTGGAATGACATTACACACGCCATTATTTCAAATGATATTCTTCCTTCTTTTCAATAAATATGGATAAATCACAAGAAAATCATATTTCTAGTTGACTCAATAATAGAAAAAAATGTGTCTTACATTGTGATATATATAAATTGTCCAATGATGAAAAAAGAAGGGTAAAATTGTTTTAAACAATCCAGAAGACAGGCCGAAAAGAAGGTGAAATTTGTAACTTTATAGTGAAATATCTTGATAAATAATGGTTTGTTCACATTTTCATTATCAAATTCGTGTTTTTCAGACAAAAATACGTAAGTACCAGAAAAATTTTTCGAAAAAAAACCCATCGCATGCTAAATGCAGTTTTACCACATTTTTTTATCACCTGGAGCGCACGAAAGGAAATCCCTATAATGTTCAAAGAACATCGTGCATTCCTAGGGAGGATAGGGACAGGTGGTAGGTATTGGAATTTTTTTTGAACTTATGGAGATTATTTTATATTGTTGGGAATACTTCCTCAGGCAATGAATTCCAGAGCCTAGCTGTTCTATGGATGAAGGAGTTTTGATAAAGTGCTGTTCGACATCTTTCGAGGTTGACAACGAAAGGATGTATTCGTGAACAGAAGGAAAATGTCTTTCACAAAAGTTGAAAAAAAACTGATTTGGACTCTTCTATTCTATTTTGCGATTCTTATTTGTTTATTTAAGAAGTGCCAAAATATAGTACAGATGAATCCCTATACAACTTTCATATTCGTATAAGTTTTTTTTAACTCGGGAGGGGTCAAAATATAAGTATAAAGTTTGTGAGAAGAATCATTGAAAACCGGTCACAAGTGATATCAAATTTAAACGTTATTTGACAAATGATTTTTCAACATTGTGTTAAGGCCTCTTCGTCCACTTTTGAGGAGTGCCTAAATCTTTCGAACCATTCTCATCACGTGATATGTTGAGGTTCGTGTTTTTTTATGCTTATTTTTCGGAATGACATTGTGGAAGCTGAGTTTGGTCAGGGAGTTTCATTCTGGTGCACTAATAGCATGGTGATTCACTGTGACCAATCTGACAATGAGGTTTGGGAATGGTTCGAAAAATTTAGGCTCTTGTCACCTTTGAACTTCAACCCAACTCGTAACGTTCTATTAAAGTAATTTTTAACTCAGTTTGTAACATTTTCTTCAAGTAAGTATTTGGTAACGTTATCTTTTGTTCAGTTTATCACGTTATGTCCTAGTGGTATTCGCGTTATCATTAACAAAGTTATGTAATTCTTCAACTTGAGAAAATTCAGCGAATCTTGGCCAGGATTTGATGAAAGAACGATGGGAAAACGTTAAATGAACAACCATTGAAAACTGATCACAATGTCGCAGGAAATGATGTTTATTCTTTATGTAAAGTCATATAAACGTTATTTTTCAACATTGTGTTCAGTCTTCTTGAAGTTTTGAACTTCAATCCATTTTGTGACGTTTTATTCGAGTGATTATAACTCAGTTTGTCACATGTTATTCAAGTATTTTGTAACGTTATCTTCATTCCAATATATTACGTTTTATCCAAGTGATTTTCACGTTATCATCAACAGAGTTGAGTAATTCCGAAACTCATCTGTAACATTTTACTCATGTATTTCGTACGTTATCTCTCGCGTTATCTTCATTGCTGAACGAAATGTTACAATAATAACGTTGAACATATACAGAGGGTTATGAAAAGTTAGTGTCCACCATTGGAAGTTTTCTTATTATGAGATACAACAAAATTAGTTGAATTAAAAGAATAAATAAAAAACATATGAGCATCGCTTGTTTGGAGTTTGAGCGGAAAAATAGTAGATTGTTTTATTAGGATCAAAAGTGACACTTTGTTTGACTCGGCTCGGCTTCGCTAAACGCTCCGCCTCGCAAATGCAAAATTTGCGAGTCGAACAAAGTCACTTTTGATCCGAATGAAACATGCTATTTTTTCTGCAACCGAAACAATTAACTCAAATAAACATGTGAAGTAACCACCAATGCCGTGCCATATGTATGCAATGCAACAAATATTGACAAATAACTCGTGTGGTGAGAATATTCTACCTGCATTAACAGTAGGTTAGGTTTTTTAGGATGTTCGAATTGTAGTTTCAATATAAATACAACCACAGAGTAACATATTTGTGTATGGACCAGGTGCTCTAATGGGAAATACCGCGCCAGTGCCAGCTATAGGAACAAGACGTGGAAAATGTTAGGTTATAGTGAGCATATCAACAATGATAATAGTGATTATTTATTCCTCTCCATACTATACTGTGTTTGACTTGATAATCAAATGAAGCTAAACAATATCGTTGTTTGAGACAAAAAAACTATTGCTTGCCGTGATTATTCAAAAACAAGTTATCCATCCCGAGAATAACGAATGAAATACAGATCAAGCAAGTATTTGAATCTTCAAGACTTCCCTGATCAAAACGAAAATAGTTAACTGAGATGTTTATAATTTCAATACTAAACTATAATAAGGTGTATTTATATCTCCAGCATGGGTATGAAATGCCAAAACTGCTGAAATCGGAAACAAATCAGGTATGCGTTTCAACCCAAATAACCAACCGTCACAATGTTGTTTATTCTTGATGACGTCCAGTACATCCTTTTTAGTTCCTAGGAGCTAAAGTCCAACTTTAGTTCCTAGGAACTAAAATTCAACTTTAGCTCCTAGGAACTAAATATGTTGCCTAGCAACATACCTATTTTTGTGTCAGTAATAGAAACGCCAATTGCTAATGCAAAGCTAATTTTGGTATCAAAATGGACGACTTTTGTGTCGGTTGCAGAAAAACATTTTTTCAATCAAATTGTCACTGACAAGCTACTGGATTTTTCTTTTAGACTCCCTGATAGAAAAATTTGTTAAACGCAGTGACATTTTGGGGCAAATCATCTGATATTGAAATAATACGAATACTTTTATTTCATAGAAACGAGGAGAGAAAATCCCACAGAATCAAGTAAAATGAAAGTTATTCATATTTTAACAGGGACAAAATTTTGGGGTGCGACGAAATTAGTGTTGCGTAGTTTAGTTCGGATCTCCTTTCTCGCAATTTGGGGTATTATATTTCGGAAGTTCTGGGATCATTTTCTCGGCGTGATAGGGAATAATAAGAATTGTTACAAATTATTTCAAACTCTCGGTCTATTAACATCTGGTGTTTTAGTAGGCGCGGGGTCATGTGGATCATTACCAGGACAATGTTAGAGATTTAATATCAAGTTATGGATCGAATTTTGCGCTTTAACTATAAACAAAGCCAGGACCGTAACAAGAAAAAAATTCTACTAAAATCAAGCAGGACTTTTTAGTGTCTTCAGTAAAACCAGATTTCGAGTGAGATGTTTTGAAACAATGACTGTTCCAACCGAAAAAACTGTTTTCTAATGTTACATAGAACGATCACGGACAATGTTGCCACATGTTTACAAGGCCCATCGATGAAATATCTACTAAAAAACTAGAATTACCTAAATTGATGGCTATTACCTGAAATTTCTCATAAGTATTTTGTATTTTTGAGAAGCGCAGAGCATCAATGTTTCAAATAATGAAAAATATAGAGAGTGTTCCATTAAAAAAAACGTAACTTTGAGTTATATCTTAATAATAACAGCTTATTTTGAAAATCTGACTACCCCACTGGATTCTACGCAAAAAAATGTATGAGAGACATTGACAACGAATATTCTCAGATACATTTTGATCATAAAAAAAAGTTGAGAGAATTTGCATTCTCCTTCAGATAAGAATATGTATTTGCACATAAATTCATTTTGATGGAGCTAGATAATTTTCTGGATTATGTGAACAATGCCGAAACTACCATAAAGTTCACTTTGGAAATTGAATCTAACAATCAGTTACCATTTCTAGATGTTCTTATTGAGAAATCAAATAGCATCTAAAAAGGCCCATACTAAGAGATACTAGAACTTTCAAACAAATC